TCCCACTCGTGAGATCGAGACTCCGCGTATTAACCAGACTGCGATCCCCATCACAAGTCGATGTTCCGTCAGGAGTCAAGACGGAACCTCCTGGTGCTCTGGTTCGCACATGTCCTCCGTCCGCATGATGCGTGGATGCCGCTCTCAGAGTGCGCTGCCTTATAGGTCGATGGGTGCCCGGGTGCTGGGCGTCGTGAGCATCGGCGTTGTTGTGAGGCTCTTAGTCTTGCTTTCACGGATCACAACGGCTCATCGGTAAGAGTGGTGCGGTTGGAGGATCTGGCGGGAGGGGACATGATGGAGGCGGTCCCGGATTTTGACGCCAGGGTGGCAGCATTGTTGACTGGCAAACGACGAACGGAGACGCTGCAGTTGCCATGCCAATGTATCCCATCTGAGTGCGCTGGTCTAGGCGCTGCCGAATCGAAGGCCAGTGTTGGCCCTGGCAGCGACAGAGTAGCCTTATAATCTATACCTTCGATTCGGCTTGTGAAGATACCGGAACAATCGGTTCAGACGTCTATGGGTCAGCTCCGCTTGGGAAATTGAGCATGCGGGCTTTTCGGACAGGCCAAGGGTCAGTCCAAGCGGATATCATGAAGGCGCTGACGACGGTGAGGACCTGCCACTGGCAGACGGAAGCAAGCGGGTGGCCGGGCCGCTCTATAAAGCGAGGCAGCTGCCTAGCTTAGGCCACCATTGCTTGGGGTGATCGGCGCCAGGACGTGGATTACACACCGCGTCGCATTGCTAAGCTGCACTTCCGTCATGCTGCATGGCCTTCATGCTTACAGGCATGGCTGAGCTAGCTCTGACCCTCGTTGGCGTCACAACGCTACTGCCAGCCTACCGCATATGGAGGCGATGAGGGCAGGAAAGTCTTGTGCACGTCCGTGCCAGCTGCGTCCTGCTGCAGGAAGCACCTCCCGGGCCTGCGCGGGAGTCCGTGTGTAGAGCTCATCGCTGCGACTCACTCGCTTCGACCCTCGCATGCGTGTGACACCGACACTCATGGATAGGTGACTGCGGCTGCAGCTGCAGCTGCAGCTGTGGTCACATTGTCCTGGCGGCTGACGCACACAATCAAGGGCGTTGCATGCCCCGCTGATCAAGCGGGAGGACGGCATGCGTGGAAGCTCTGCTGACTTCTACGACCGAGCAGACGCACGGAGCAAGCTGTGTGGCGTCAACCCCTAATCGACATCATGGTAGCAGCTGGGAGCCAGACTGCTCGTTAGGATGTTCGCGGAAATGATCTCACCGTCACAGGGGTGTGTGCCAATCAAGCAGTCGTGTTGCTGATCCCAGTCCAGTCCTGCCTTGTGTCTGTCCCCATGTCCGCTAGATAGCTACATACGTCCAGTCACTGTCTTGCCTCCCGATGGCATCAAGGGCCCCAACGTCATGTGAGTCCACCCCTCACGTGATTTGGCATCGCGAAGTATGCAGTGTAAAGCCTGTCGCTGTCCCCAGGTCTGGTTGTGCGACTGGTTGCAATGCCCTTGGACATGGTCGACGAGGATGCAGGCATCTGGTGCAGTACGTGCCGGCAGCTACTGCCAACTTGTCCGTGTCTCTCGCAGGACTGCAAATGTATGGGTCTTCGACGGCCACTGATGGCGTCTCAGACTCCTTTGATGCGATAGCATGGCACCTGGGCTGGCAGGCCCGCGTACCCGGCGAGCGGCACTCCCGCAGCGGCGTCGCAGGTAGCCAATGCCTCCGTCGACTAACCATCCGTCTGGAGGGGGCCTTTAGTGGGGTCGGACCGTGCCTTGCTACATATCTCTAAACAAACAAAACGTCTGGCTGACTAATCCGGGTGCCAGCTGGAGATGTCCCTGACAGCCTGATTGACATTCGCCTTGGGAGCTCATAACCCGACATGCTCTTGCTGACACGGAAAGGGGACCGCGCGCGTGATGCAAGCGAGCCACGCGCAGATCACTTGGCGGTGTTGCAATCAAAAGCCACGTGGCCGGCTTCATGTCCTCCTCTCAGCACCCGCTTCCTCGGAGTCGCCTTCTGCCTGTGGTTCCTGTTCCTCAGCCTTCATGGGCAGAACGTCATACATGATTTCTGACCGCATAGTATACTTGACCCCGCGCTTGACCTCGTCACCAGAATGGACCAGCCGTCGCTGCTGGAATAGCAGAATTCGACCGGCCTTAGGCCAGACATCTATTCGCCTCTTGCGATTGCCCGACAGAAACGGCGTGCTTCCGCCGCGCAGAGTATCAGGTGTGACATCGCCCGGCCTAAGACTTTCCGCGGAATTGTTCAAGTATAAATGCACCGTAAAGTACGACCTCTTCCCGTCGGGTGTTTTGAACATGCTATCAGCGTGTGCTATAAAGAGAGTCGGTTAGCATGGCCCAGTCACGCCCGTACTTGTGGCTAAGCATGACCCGACATACGCTTGAAGAATTGGCCTGGTCCGTACTTCAGGAATCGCATGCGCTCGTTGATGCCATAGTCTGTTGCCCTGGCATAGTATCCATCGGCATTGCCCCCTGCGATCTCATACTGGCTGCCCCTGAGCTCGGACAAGCGATCCTTCAACTTCGCAACCTGCAGCATTCGTCGCCAGAGACGCGTGGTCAATTCCTGGTGATCCCAGATGATGCGATCCGAGTTCCGGTAATCGGTCATGGGCAATTCGGAGTTGAACCCTGCCGCGACGAGAGCTGGTTGCCAGCCCCTGCGACCAGGCCGAACCTGACCGGGTCCTGATTCTGAGCTAGCTGCCGCATCTGGTAACGCAGCCTCAGTCGCATCGCCACCCAAGCTGTCGTTCTGATGCAGGCCAGCGGCGGTCTCAGCTAAATGTATCAATTGTCGGCATTCCTTCTCCGAAACGATGTTATCGATGATGGCGGCCGTAAAGTCGGTATACTCCGGTATAGCTGATGCGAAATCGACCCATTGCACCTGCACACTGCTGGGATCATCGAGCGGAGCGAGCAGGTCTGGGGGAACCTTGACAGGATACGGTTCGTATGTCGTCTCCACCTGCTGTGGTGGGGGCTTCGGCGTATAGGAGCTCTTGCCGCTGAATAGTCTGCCTCCGAACATATTCATCGCTGCGCCTGTGCTCGAGAATCGCCAAAGCATGATAATCGGGTGAGGCCACAGTTCGCCAGGCGTCGTCAACGGCGCTCAATATATGTCGCCATCGTGCTGCGAGAGATTGCCTTTGCGCTGTCAGCCTCAGCCTCGTGCTGACGGACAGCGCTAGCTGGCCGCATACGGACCTGCAGCCACAGCACCGTGACCGGTCAGCATGCATGCAGCCTATGAGTCGCAGTCAGTCATCTTCCAGCTATACTCTGATATCCCATGACTACTTTGCACACAACAACGGCGCGTCAACGTCGGCGAAGGTGAGATGATCATATAACTGAGATGCAATTTGTGTGCCTTCGAGGGGGCACATGGCAGGTTGTCGCACAACCTTCGCGGTAATGTGGTCTAAAGTACATGAGAAGGAGGGCCCGGTCGAAGGGCATGACGAGCGTAGTGTGTGCCGATATAGCTGATGTGCCATTGATTTACCAGTAACGATGGTTGACAAGTCCTGTCGGGCGGTGCGCTGCTGGTGACAGGTATACCGCTAGGAACAGATGTGGCATGCCGGGCGGCTGGCGAGACTTATTACCAGCCGCTGCCGAAGTGGAACGCGAGCGCATTATGTCCTTTCGCAAGCTCGTAGACTGGCAGTAGCTTCTTTGGAAGCCGGGTATTATTGACGACTCAATATGAGCCGAGATTAAGGGCGCGTCGACAGCTGGGTTGACGATATTATGCGGAAAATAGTGGTGATATGGCATGGCGAGCAGCCAGGCGATGCTAATCGAGGATACAATTGATTCGGGCGGGTCGTGAGGTATTGCTGTGGATTTTGCCAGTCGTGGTTCACTGTCAGGGACGAAAGGAGCCGTCATCGACCCTGACCTGGGAGTGGTGGCAACGGGCAATCTGGCGGAGGGCCTGGGCAAGGCGGAAATTCACGATTGCCATGACTGGTCTGTCGCATTGAAATCGCAGGGGCAACCATTGTGTAGGTATTGGTCTCGGAGCACAGCAGGCCGGCGCTTGATATGTTAACGCGCAAAACTCAGGTGCGTTCCGCGCGGTGAAAGAGGCGAACGTGCTATAGCCACCCGCTGGTAAGTCAAAAGTTGCAATGCTGAACCGTGGTGATTCCATGAGGCTCCCCTTGCTCGCCATCAGCATCAATGCTAAGGCTTTATAGCAGTTTGTCAACCGGGTGTAAAGCCTTGCTCGTCCGTGCGGCGCGGCATGCTTCGTGGTGACCTCAGCGTATTCGGACTTCCATCCGATGGTCATGCATCACGCTCCTTGGCCACCGCTGAGGTCACAGGCACGCGCTGCGCAGAATGGGTTACTAGGACTCCGGTTGCAAGTGGATTCAGATTGCCGTTCTACGATTCTTCTCGTAGGTGTTGCGTGTACCGAGCGCAACCTGACAGTCGACGCTCGGTGACGGCTGCTTCTGTGTGCTTCAGACGGGCTCAGAATGGCTACATCTCGACTGAACAGTCCGGTTCCTCGAAAACTGCTGTGGCGCATCGTTGCCGCACCATTTGCAGGCCTTGCTGTCGTCAATGTCACCGTGCTCAGACCCTTGTCGCGGCATGCAGTGGGCGTAGAAATATGTTTCAGGACGCCAGTGCGTTTCAGGCTGCTGGGTCCCTTCACCAAGTGCAGCTGGTGCTACGGCCTCATGCACCATTTGCACAGCACGCTGTCTCCTGAGTAACTAGCAAGTCAAGCCCATCTGTTCGCGTGCCAATGCCACATTCGTGGCATGCATGTGGACTGTAATGTGATGTCGGCAGACACTTCTGATGGGGGTCACGCCTCACTCCGTTGGACTGCACCACGAAGACTTGCTCACCGACGTGTTAGCGCTCTCGCAGGTACCGGCGACATGCTCATCACCTTCCAAAGGTAGCAGCTGGCTCGAGCAAAAAAACTGAACAGGGTGGGATTCGAACCCACGCGTACAGAGTACAACCGCAGAACCAAACTCCTGAAGCGATCGCCTTAGACCACTCGGCCACCTGTCCGATTCTTATATATTTTGGTAAGCGAGGCTCTCATGCCATCCATTGAGCTAAGGGCCTGTAACCAATAGTAGCATGTAATGGTTTGTTTGCTTCATTACTCCTTTTACTAGGGACATCAAGGGGGGTAAGGGGGCAGACAGGAAAAACCGCGGCAAAACGCAGATCAAAATCTGTTGGGGGGCAGATTAGTAGTGACTGAAGGGTGGCAAAGTGACCTGATGTCGCCTAATCGCTAGCAAGATGTGAACATTTTGCGTGCAACTGAGTACATCTGTGGTGAGAAGCACCAAGCCACGCGCCTAAGGCACTAGGTGCCTATAATAAGCGCACTCGGAAGACTCTCACCGTTGTTAGTCAAAGAACAACAGCGGCAGAGCAGGCACTCGTTACTCACCGAGGCCATCGGAAGATCCTCGGCGACTAACGATCCATGACGAACGCATGGCTCCACCGACAATCCGTTCCTGACAAACGGCTCCAACGGGCATTGTTTTAAAACAAGCTCCTTCTTCGATGCAGGACATGGCTCGCGCCAAAGCCCTACCGAGCTTTTGAACAGAACAAGCATCCCCTTGCACTTGGCTATGACTCGTTCCATGACGACCGGCTGCCCTCCTTGGCAGACGGCCCAGAACAAGCATAGTCACTGAGCCTTGAAGAAACGAAGTGCACGTAGCACTCGTTCCTCAACGAGCACCATTGTAGCGACTCGTCGGCAAACAAGCGTTATAGATAGTCAGATAGATAGCGTTGGTTCTTCAAGTGAAAAAAAGGGCCAACGGCCAAGCAACAAATAGGAATCAACTCTTGTTACACAACAAGGGCTGCGCCAAGAAGACGCTTCCGCTACGCCGGTCGCCTCGTTTGCCAACGAGGCGGCCGACCCTCTATCGCGGCGCGGCTTGTTGTGTAAAGAGATCGCCCTTGGTCATCTGGTAGCATGTACTTTACATGCAATGTTCCAGTTGGCGGCTCCATTCGTTACAACCCCACCGAGTAGCATCGATTACCGAACCTCTCCTCCGACTCGGCGGAAGCCCAGTCACCACCCCTTCGGAGAAGGCGTGGACCAGTGAGAATGGCAACGATTATTCAATAGTCCCTTGTCCCCCGTCGAAAGGGAGGAACGAAGAGAGAAATCACCAACGATCCCAATCGAGACAAAATGTCTAGCCCAAATCAGTTCTACGGCCCCTCCAACGCCATAGAAGGCGTGCACCAATTCTCCCCCAACGCCACGAAGGGCCCAGTGCCCACGGAACTCATCGAAATGTTCCGGCAGCAACAACGGACCATCAACGCCCTTATTGAACAACTTGGGCAGCGCCCCAACACGCTACCTGGCGATTCACCCTGGAAGGACTACCTCTTACAATAAGTCAAGAATGTCAAGACGTTGGTCCAGTACGGCGGAAAGCGCGGCGACAGGCCACTCAAGCGATGGATTCGCGCCTCCAAAGATTACTTCAACAGGTTAACCGCGCTGGCCCACTACACGTCGTTGAAGGAGCACAAGGTGCTGCTAGTCAAGGATCTTCTCGTTGGAAGAGCTCTGGACAGTTGGAACTCGTTCAAGGACGCTCATCGCCAGAGTCCTGAGCTCTACCACCACTCCCGGACCTGGACGTCTATGAAGGAATGGCTCACGGCTGTTATGATAAAGGGTGAGGGTGCACGAGGTATCCCGCGGATGTCTTAAGTTGGTGAGAGGGGAGCGCTACTATCACGATGTTGTCAAGGTGAACACTGCCTTTTAAGACCTTCTTGGAAGAGCAGCTGTTTGTCTCTTCGGCGCATCCGGCTTATAGCCCCCCCTGGTTGCTGAGAGCGGCTGTGTGTGCTGCCGGCTCTCTGCGCGCGGCCGCCATT